AGAAACAAACACACATAACATTTGATGCCTTGGTAGAAGGCTACGTTTAGTAGAAAGGACCATAATGCTAACATTATGATTCCTTAATGTATACATCAAATGATACATATATATCAATAGGATCCGACAGGTAATAGGATGTGTGCTCTCCGTTTCATTTCCTGTTCCTTGTTTGGTTGTGGGCTTGGAACAGATTCACCCAACCTATTATCTATTCGATTCTAGATGTATAGGTTCTGTATACATTAAGTCATCATAGGGGTACCAGGTATGGGTCAAGTCATAGGACACAGAGTCAATGCACAGTTTTCTAGTACAAAACATACTATACGAATCATAACGTTTGGTTTACAAAACTAGAAACTCACCAGTTAAGGGTTTAATCCATTTTATTAAACCAGTACAATTTAAAGGACCTTAGGTGATTAACTCTATAATACTTTAGTTTATACACCAGGGTTATATATCATTAATACCTAATAGATTGTTGTATGTGTGCTTTCTGCCTTATTTCTTGTTCCTTGTTTGGTTGTGGGCTTGGGGCAGATACACCTAATTAACTATCTAATCGATATTAGATTATATATAACCAGTATAAACTAAGTGATTATAGAAGTAATCACTGTGGTCACCATTTTATTACAAGAAATAAGGGTTTTTCCTAAAGAAGCTTTTCATCAAACATAAAGGAACTATTACAGTTAACTCCGTGAGTACCAAGGGAATACACCAGGGTTATATACAATAAGGATCTAACAACCAATGGGATGTGTGTCATCTGCCTCATTTCATGTTCCTTGTTTGGTTGTGGACTTAAGGCAGATATACACAATCGATTGTTTGTTTACTCTGAGTTTTACATAACTTGTATCCATTTAGTACACATAGAAAGGATTGTAAAGTCATTTTTACTTATTTTTCATCAATGCAGGAAATATATGATTTCCTGGAGGAACAGACGAACTTTTCTAAACAAAACTTATAACTTACTACATCTTACCAAGCTTTCTACAACCACCTACAACACTAAAATTTTATGAACTCACCAGCTTAATTGTTGATCAACTCTTTCAAATAACTTGTATTCTCAGGAGCCTAGTAGACAGGTACTCGTGCTGGGATTCAGAAGATGGAGCAGTATAGCTTCAAGTCTTGTTTGTTATTTGCTTATATATTCTATGTTTTGTGAACACACCCTTTGTAAACACTTTCCTTCTAATGAAATGGTTGTTTATTACTTCGACTACTATGATGCATGTCTTGTGATACTAAACATGACGTCCTCCACCCCAGAATGTTTCCGCCGTTCCGGTTTTGGGGTGTGACATTAATGAAATTGATATTCATTTCTTACTACATTTATTGCAATTATTACATTAAAATATAATGTGAAATTTAATAAAATAAAAAAATCTAATAAAATGAGATGTGGAAAAAAATTAATTCAAAATAACCACAAAATGATATTTGACAAATTGAATAAGAGTGTGACAAATGACAAAAAAAATCCTTCATTTATTAGAGTAGGTGTAAATTGTTTTTATGGCGGTTAGGGTCAGAAATGGAGTAGTATCAGTTAATAATGTCACACTTAGGTAGCAGGATATAATTACTTATACATGATATACACTTTCAAGACAAATTCTTTAAAAAAAATCTTAGGAAGAACACAATCCACAACCACGAGTTGTTGTACTTTCAATACGTAGACGTACAACTATTCATTATTTTTTATGTGGATTTAAATATTGAAATTATTGATGTATAGTATAGTATTATAGTATAGTGCTTTTCTCACTTTTCCCTTTTTTCCCTTTTAAAACTAATTCTTTAAATTATTTAATGCTCCTAACTTGGGTTTGCTGTATGTTTTCGTAGTGGGACAACGACCTCTTTTTATATATATATATATATATATATATATATATATATATATATATATATATATATATATATATATATATATATATGTATTTGGACTATATTGGTAATCAAGCATACCCAATACTACAAAACTATATATTTATTTTTAATAAATTAATCTAAAAAGAGTTGTTTCCCTTCTTTGCTCAAGTGGCTTATATTTATGTTGTCATTAGTAGTGTTTCTTAATACAATACCACTTTTTGTTTTCTGAATTCGAGCATATGAGTATCTATTAGTGGTTGATTGATATTTGTTGATTGAATCCGAAGATACAAATCCAACATCTTATCTATCCAATAAAAAGAATATCAAATATAATAGAAACGAACCGGAGACTTTTAATTGTGGTATAAACAATCTAAATCTAATGGAATCAGACACAACATAGGGTAGTTTTCTTGAAACTTTTAAATGTTTCATACCAACAATTAAGATATTATTAACTTTTTTTATAAACACTAGTTGTGAGACCCATGTATTACATGAGTTAATTTAAAAAAAAATAAAATATAAATGTCAAAATATTTGAAAACTTTGAATTTATAAGAAAATAAGAAAAAAATAATAAATTATTATAATTGAAATGTTTTTAATATTTTAAATTTAAACAAATAATTTAAATAAATACACAAAAGAAACTAATGAACTTTAATTTGGTAAATTTGAAATTAAAAGATAAGTTTATTAATAAAATTAATATGCATTTATTACTACATTTATTGTATTAAAATATAATACTGAATTTAACAAAACAGAAAAACTTATAAAATGACATGTGAAAAAAAAATTAATTCAAAATAACCACAAAATAATATTTAAAAAATTAAATGAGAGCATGTCATGTCATGTGGCAGAAAAAACTTTCATTTATTAGGACAGATGATAATAAGTTTTTTAAAATATTATTAATTTTATTAAATCCTACACTTTTACTCTTTAATTAATATGAATATATAGAAGGAGGGATAAAAATGAAAAATATAAGAACATTTCATTTCTCTATAGAATAATATTGAACTTCGTGATTTTGTTCACGAATTTATTGAAAAATGGAAAGCAACACCAATTTACTTTTGGGAAAAGAGGGAATGAGTAGACGAAATAGCGTTGAGTAAAGTAAACAATGTGGAACTCAAACAAGCTACACATGGTTTTTTTTTTCTTTCTTTTTTTGGCTAATTAATTAATTAGATATTAATTACTTCATAAGCATGTTACTTATTGGTTGTAAACAGCTGTGCCCTAACCTTCCTACAATGAATTTATGTTCCTATGAACCTTGGTTTTCGAATTAGGCTGTTCTACTTTTTACCTTTTTTGGTCTACAACTTTTAGAGTTTTTGTTAGTTAATTGGATGCCTAATCACTCCTACAATTACCTTCTTTCAATAAGGTTAATGGAAAAGGGTGCTGCTAATAAGACACCCCTTACACACCCTCTCATTATTTTTATAAAAAGTCAACCTATAATAAACTACTTGTAATCAGTTTTTTCGGAAAACAATACAATTTCAACCAATAAAAATACTTCAAAATTAATTAGGTTTGTCTAAATGGTAAAAATGGATGTCTTTTTATCTAATCCCAATGGAAAAAAAATTAGTGGATAAATAGATGGATTAATAATTTAATAGAGTTTAAAATGCAAAACTTGGGGGGTGTTTGGCTTAACTTTTCACAGCTAAAAGTCCTTTTTGGAAAAGAAAAAAAGCAAAAGATGTTTGTCAAAACTAGTTTTAAAAGCTACTTTTGGAGTTTTGATACAAGGAAAATGAACTTTTTGAAAAAGTCAGAAAAACCTGATTTTTTGTAACTTTTTGGAAAATGACTTTTGGGCTGTGAAAAGTTAAGCCAAACACCCCCTTGGTTTGAAAATAAATCTTAAAATTATAATAAGAATTGTGAGCAGTACACTTTAATATCATTGGCTATGTCAAATTAATTTAGTATGTGTAATGTTGATTGGTTTGAGAACCAATGAACCATCATTTATGATATGTTTTGTGTACTATGTTCGTTCTTTAAAATTCCCATCCAGATGAAATTTAATCTGTTCAAACTACAAAGTCCATTATAATTTTCTAGCCATACTTCATGTTAAAAAAATCATAAATAATTATGTTTTGTTCCAAACAAATGTAAGAGTTTCATCATAGGATTTTTTTTAAAATAATTTACAATAATAGGTTTACTATTACTATTATTATTATTATTATTATTATTATTATTATTATTAATGTTAATGTGTGGCTTGAGTTTGTTTTTCAGAATAGATACCCCGACTTGAAAGAAAGTGAAGAAACGCGAAATGTTTGGTTTTACTCGTATATGTGTTCGGCCCTATAATAGAAGGCTTTACAGATATAAATATTGGCAGCTAGCTAGATATTACAGCGTAATCCTTTCAAACAATCTGTTAATAGAAGAATTCTCTTGCATCTGTTCGTGGACGTAAGTGATATCGATCGAACCACGTTAAACCATTGTATCGTTTTATTGTTTTCTATTGCTTTCTCGTGTAACACATATTTTAGTTATTTGATCGCTAAATAATTTTTAAACTATGTAATAAATAATTGAAATTTATATTTTTTGTATACGAGAGAGAGTAATTAAGTTAATCCATCATCTATCAAGAAGTTATTCTCGTTTAATTCCATAAAATATTTCACATATGATTAAATATTTCACATATGAGTAAAAAGTTCAAAAAAATTGAATGTATCTTATATAATTTTTTTTGAAACTCTAAATCATCCGTAAAAAAGCTTTGAGGTAATTCCAGTTGCGTCAACCTCTCGATCTCATGTTCAATAATTGCGAGGAAAACCACATACCAAATCACCAACCTGCGGAAATTACATAGAGAAAGAATTAAAAAATAAAATAAAAAAGTGCACCACCAAGTTTCTTTACCTTAACATGAAAGGATGTCTAGTCATCTGCGTACCTTCCATTTGTCTTTAAAATATGCCCCCCTTCTCACCACCATTTGCTCAACAATTTCCCTCTCCATCTGAATATCTCTCTCACCCATCTATCTCTCTAGAAGAACAAAAAAACACTTCAAAAAAATGGAACAAAATCTACCAGTTTTAGCAAAGAAAGTATGGAGCTTAGTTCGAGTCGTGTACTTCATGCTACGTAAAGGCATTTCCAAGAAGAAGTTACTGCTCGACCTCAACAGGATGATGAAGTGTGGTAAGATCGCCGGAAAAGCCTTGCATAATCTCATGTTCCACAACCACCACCACCGCTGGCCGGTGCCTTTCACCACCAACCGCCCTTCAAGTCACCTCTCCAGCCCTTCTCTTCCACCTGGTGAATATGAGTTCAGCTGCAGTAACAGCCCTTCTGCTAGTAACAATGCATTCTCTCTATTTTTATTCAACAAGAAACACCATTCTAACAATCACCACGCGGAGGGTCTTGACATGATGGCTGTCAATGCTGCGGTGCTTAAGGCCATGGAGATGATTCACAGTGAGACGGCATCGCCGGCTCTTCCAGGGTTTGGGAGGAGTCCGATTGTTAGGCAACTTAGAGTAACCGACTCTCCCTTTCCTTTGAGTAGCGTGCATGAGGACAACCAGGTTGATGAGGCGGCGGAGCAGTTCATAAGTAGGTTTTACAATGACCTACGGCGGCAAAATACCAAGGCGTCTTTTGGTTCATCATTTAATTAAGATGTATAAAATTTATTTCGATTGTTGTGTACATTGAGACCTCATGTTGTGTATGCAAGTATATACAGTTGATGCAATAAATCTTTATATATATATATATATATATATATATATATATATATATATATATATATATATATATATATATATATATATATATATATATGAAATTAATTAGAATGTTCTTTTTATAATGTTGTAACTAGAAACATGAACCATTATCAAGTTCTAATGGTGATCACCTTATATTGAGCATTTTAAAATTGAGTGGATTGACGTTCGAAACCTACATATTTCAATCTTGTTGTGAAATTTATTTAGGTTCAAAACCTACATGTTTCAACATTAGGTAATCTGCATTTAGAAAAAAAAAAAATACTCAAACGTTTGAAACCTACATATTTCAATCATTTGATTTTTTTTTTTTAATAAAACGAGTTTTAAATTTTAGTTGCGAAAAAACATATGGTTCCATAGTTTAAAACAAGTTATAAATTTTTTTTAAATTATTTTTGTATGGAATTAGGTCCAAATATACCAAAGTATAGAGTTTTGGTTAAAATGAGGATGTTGTAATCAATTTAATAATTATCATAAATCAAATGCAACATCACAAACTCAAGTATTGAAAATATTTTCGTTATCTTATAAGCAACTTTTAAATCTTCAATCTAAACACAAATCTAAATAAGATAGGCAATAAAAATGCATATTGAAAATACCGGAGATTGACTCATTCTTATATATATATATATATATATATATATATATATATATATATATATATATATATATATATATATATATATATATTAAAGATGACCACTTTTAGGAATAGTGAAGTTGTGTGCTTTTTGGCAAGAATAGCCCATGGATATGTTGTTTCCGTTTGATTTTTGTGTCCGGACATTTTATGGAAATATTCACATTCTTTGATACACGTGTTGATGATCGTTTGGTTTTATCCGCTTCCGGATCTTTCCCCATGCGTCCTTATCTTCGAAATTTCAGATGAGCATCCAAACCTTCCGTTCTCTTTCTTCCTTCGGAGGTGCTAGAGAAGGTGAGCCGCCGCTTCCACCGCTTTCTAATTGTTTCAGTCTTTTCTATTCAGCCACCACCACCGTTGCTTACGTTTCTTCATCAGGTTTCGTGTGTTGTCTTCGACTATGGTGTAGAACGGAGGTAATTTTGCTGGTGGGTTCCAACTTTTATTTCCCGTGTTTCTCAAACGCAGCTTACACTACCTCTTCCTGTATCTTTCTCTCTTTGGTATGTTTTACCTGCTTGTGTTCTGACCTCCACCGCCTTCTCTCACTTTCGCTGTCATTCTTTGGAATTCTCGGTTTCTCTTCTCTTTCTTTTTGGAAGAAATCAAGATACAGAGAACATAAATCGACCCTACAGGGGTTGTCGAGCCCCCTATGTTGCTGTGTGGTCATGGAAACAAAAAAAAGTGAGGATGCCAGTCGCCGATGGTGACGGTCAATCACCGGAGACTACAGCCGCGAGGTCCAGTCGGAGCCTATCGGAGGTATTCGACGATTGACTTGTGGAGGCATCTCCAAACCTATATGCTAATATATATTTCTCTCTCTATATATCCGTTATCTGATTCTCTTATGTTTCTGATGGTTGCATATGTCTTTGTTTTGTTTTCTCTATGTGACGGGAAGAGAGATGAAACCGATGATACTATCTTTCATGCTCCTGTTACATGTTGGGTTTAATCTTGACTGGTTGATTAGGGTCACATGTTAGTATTTTAGCCAGATTTGATTGGTTGCTGAATTGGTCATGTGTTGACCAAGTTTGAAGGAGAATAATGGGGCTTAGTTGCCACCAACATAGGAAGCACATGCACATAGTATTTACGCTTGTTTTTGTAGTCTATAAATAGGTTAGTTTGTTTTTTTTTTTTTTAGTGTGTGTAATCAGTCTCTTTTGAAGGTAATATATATACAGAAATTGTTGTTTTGATTGGTGTTAAAAGGAGTGAGTCCAGGCCTGAACCAACAATTGGTATCAGAGGCCTAAGATCGTGGGATCATGACGAGGTTCTATGTGAACCATAGAGTCCAGTGAAAGCCAAGCTCTGTGTGAGCCAAGTTCAAAACCAGAATCTGTGTGATTAAATTTGCATCTGTGTGATGAGTGATTGAGTGAGATCGATCTATGAGTGTTTAAGGAGTTGAAAGAAGTTGAGTGCAAAATCCAAGTTCTGGGTGAACCAAGAAGAAAGTAACTTGTGTGGTGAAGATATAATCTGTGTGGAAAGGCAAGTCAACATGAGAAAAAAAATGGATTTGTGTGATCAGGAGACGGAAACATAGTTCACCTGCAAGTATGTATGGGTGGGTTGAAGGAAAGAAGAAAGAAAAAGGAGGATCAAACTAGAGTGGTTCTTGGCTGTGGTGTGTTCTGGCTCTGCTGTGGAGTTAATGGCTCAAATTGGTGTTGACAGTCCGGCTGTGTTGGTGTGATCCCGAAGATAACAAACGGGTGGAGAGGAAGAAAGTAAGCAGCAAGAATGCAAGCAGCAAGTCCAATCACGTTAGGTGATCAAAAGAAAGAATGAAAGCAAGTAGGAAGGCTGATCATGTTTGGTGATCAGAAGAAAGAACAGCAGAAGCAAAGCAAGCAGCAAGAAATAGCAGGCAAGAAAATCATAACAATAAGAGAGTTTCGGGTTTTTAGCAAGTGGCAAACCAGAAACAAAATGCATGAGACAGTAGAAGTCTGAGCAAGATAGAAGAACTGTGTGTTCTTAAAGCAAGTAGCAAGATTGAGGCAGAATGATTCAGATAGCAAGAGAAGTAAAATCAAAATGGTCAAGATTAAGGGGGTGAATGTTGGGTTTAATCTTGACTGGTTGATTAGGGTCACATGTTAGTATTTTAGCCATATTTGATTGGTTGCTGAATTGGTCATTTGTTGACCAAGTTTGAAGGAGAATAATGGGGCTTAGTTGCCACCAACATAGGAAGCACATGCACATAGTATTTACGCTTGTTTTTGTAGTCTATAAATAGGTTAGTTTGTTTTTTTTGTTTTAGTGTGTGTAATCAGTCTCTTTTGAAGGTAACATATATACAGAAGTTGTTGTTTTGATTGGTGTTAAAAGGAGTGAGTCCAGGCCTGAACCAACATTACACTTGAAACATTTGCTGAAAGGTATTACCGCCATGGATGCGATCTTCACCACCTCTCTACTTCTCCTTTCTTCCTTTTGTGTGTTCCATGTTGAAAGGAATAGAGGAAGGGGTCTTTCGTGTTTGATTTGGGCTTCCACGTTCTCTGGTCCTGTTGTAAGGTTCCTTTTCGGTTCCCGTTCCCTCTCGCCTTCTTCTCTATTCAGTTATGGTTCTATAGATTTCATTCGATTGACTGGTTTTGCTCCGGTTTTGCTAATTGCAGCTTTCTTTACCTGTTCATGACTTTATGTTGGAATGTAGGTATGAGCGCTATATATTTGCACTTGAATAAGCTTCTACAGATGTATTAGCTACACTTAAGGATAAAGCATTGAAGGTTTGTTTACTTTTATGTGTGTGTTCTTTACATAATTTGATTAGTAACATACTATATGATAACATTAACATAATGAATTTGTTTCTCTATAATCACTATTAGGGCCCGATTTTGGGTTCATCAAACATTTACCGGCCAGGTATCGATGCCCCTTCTTTCGTCTTTGTTTTCTCAATTTCAGAAGTTAGGATTTAGTTTTGGGTTTATGATGTGATTTCAGTTGTTAGCTTAATTTTATCAGTTTCTGCAAACGTGATTCAATGCTTTCTCTTCGATTTTCGCTTCCTATCAGAATCTGAAACCGATTGTCAACCCCAAATCAAAGCTGAAGGTTAGGGCTTTTTCTTTTGCTGGATTATGGCTTAATCTTCTTACAAAAGTTAACAAACGTTTCAATTTCAAGTCATTCTGATATTTTATGCTCTTTTTTTTCCAGTAACAATCAGGCTCAAGAACAATCATGGATTTTGTTCTTGTGTAACTATGTCTGTTAGTTGTTTATTGTTGACTCGATGAAATTGACAGATGACCTGAACAATGTGATGAGTTGAAATTTGCATGAGTTGTATGTCAATCAGTGAATTATACACAAAAGGGTTGACTTGAATTAAGTATACATACATACCATTAGCATGTTTTGAATAAAATATGAAATATGTGTTTAAATTATTTTGAAACTTTATATCCTGAAAAACTACTTGTAGTTCAATTTTCTGGAACTTATCTATTAACATTATTGTTTTTTTATGCTTACTTTTTTGACTTTTGTGGGTCTCATTCGTTAATTATTCTCATACCGTTCAACTAAAACGTTATTTGTCGGCATACAAGATTAGATATCAATTTTTTTTGAAGAAAAGTACAAAAAAAATTACTTTTGAATAGGAAATGATTTATCTTTTGAACTTTATTGAGTAAATTAATACTTTCATATCTTAGACTATTATTTGATTTGTAGTTTAATTTTATTGTTTTTTTTGCAAGTTGCCACCGGTTTAATTGAAATCATGTTCAGATCATAGCTTTACTTCAGGCACATATTTTTTTTCATTTCAATATTATTATCATAACTTAAGATGAAACTGCAAAGTCAAACATTCAGAGTAGAACCCATAAAGTATTTCACTTGTGAAATTTCAGTATAAACCTTCACCAAAGAAACAGATGGAAGAAGATAAAAGGGCTTTAGAATTTAGGTTAAAACTAAAACTTTTGGCAAAAAAGGAAGAAACAAATATCATTCAACAGATGGTCGGGACTGCGATAAGTCACACCGAGGATGAGGGACAACGGGTTCCGTCGGATAACGATTATACCCTTGCGGATTCCACCAGACAGTTTTCCACTTCTGAGAGAACATAAATATTTTCTCATATCTCGGATGAAGATGAAAGTGAAGTAGATAATGATAGTACTGTGGCATGGGAAAGGGAGTACATGCAAGGCGTTTTAATGAAAGAACACGTTAA